AGGCCGACCCTCTTCACTCCCCACACTTCTGAAGATCTCCTGTCCTGAGACTGTCTGTCACTGGCTGCGCCTGTTTGCCAGGACCCCGTTACCTCCTGGTGAGCCCCCTGCAGACAGCTGCCTGGATCCCCAGCTGTCAACCTCTGGAGATGTGCCTTACCTCCCTACCCCCACTAAACCTGCACCCCCAGCACATTCCCCTTGCCACCCAACCCTCCCTCAAGCGTGTCAGCTTCCACTCCTCCCAACCTGCCTCAATGTGCTGTCCATCCCCCACGCCTGTCCCAGATTCCAACACTAACGCTCTAAGAGTTCACGTTCTACGTCTGTCAGCAGAGCCCACCATAGAGAGTGAAGTACAGTGACTGTCCTCTGAGGCAATGACCTCTGCACTGCAAACCTTCAACCCCTCACTGAGCTACCGTCTGAGCCCACACCCTGCACATCAGGTCCACACAAAGCAAGGTCAGCCCACAGTTGAATCTCGGCTGCCTGGGGGCCTGTCCTCTCCACCCCCCGAGAGTGACCCGGATGCAAAGTTTCAGTTCTGTAAAGGCAAGTTAGATTCCATACAGGGTCTTCTCACTCCCAAGTTTCCGCTTTGCTAAATTATCCCCCATCACTCTGTCAAGGGGGACCCAGTTCACCATACGGCACCTAAACCTGACGATGGGCTTGTGGGCAGTCTGAGGCCATCCCAGCCCACGAGACACTTCCGTGTGGAATGAGAAGAGGCTCCCCTTCGTGGAGGCCCTCCTCTCCCACCTGTTTGAAAATCATCGTCATAAACCGATAATGCTAAAACAAGACGCTTCATGTCCAGCTGTTAGAAAACCGCCATCATAAACCACACAAATCAAGCCCTCTTCCACTGGTGCCCTTGTGTGGCACTCAACCTGCAAAAATGCCTGTGGCAGATGCACATGTCCACAGCCACCTGCAGCTCTGGCCAAGCAAGGTACTCACGGCACTTAGTGACCTGCTCCACGGAACCCCTGAGACGGGCAGACTGCGTGGTAAAGAACCAGGTCCTGTTTCTGCTGAGCTCAGGTCAAAAGTGTAAGGTCCCAACAAGCCCGGCGAGGGGGAGAAAGGTCTTCCTGGCTAGGCTAGGGTCATCGAACCCCAAGCAGCGGCTTCTGCAAATGAGGAAAACAGCCAGCAGGGCTAGAACTGGCAGGTAGAGAAGCTCACTCTGCGGGACCCGGCTCTCAGAAAGCCCGTGAAATGATGACAGCTGGGAGAACGCGGGCAACCAGTGGCTGCTCTGAGACATACCTGGACCAACTGTCACCACTGGGATCAGAAAGAACTTCACACTCATCTCTGACCTTTCCTTGGCCAACTTCACCCACAGCACCTTCCCCTTTGATCAAATACTTTCCCAGACCCTGACGTTAACGAGGACAAGCATGGTGACAACTCAGAGACCAGTCGAAATTGGGTCGTTTCCTGTCACTAATCCATGTGATTCGATGACATTAAAAATGAAACTAGAAGAGAATTCATTTCCTTTTTTTACTTTTAAATGAGGCCCTGCTGAGAGCAGAACAGTTTAGATATTGAGCCTTCTTAAGCAAACGGTCCCCAAGGGACAGCGCTGAAGAACTTTGGGTCCAGCCCTTGTTTTCTGACCACTGCACCCAACACCCCCTCATCTAACCCCGCTGCGCTCCACATCGAGGAGCAAGAGAAACGTACCTGGTTTCCAAAAATGAAGTCCAGAAAGTAACACACACTCCTACATTTCACCTTCTAAATTAAGCCAGTGTTCTCCATTAACTTCCTACTGGAGACTGAGAGAAAATGGTTTTAAAACTGAAAACTAAATTTAAAGTTAGGGGGAAAAAAAAAACCACCTCATCGAGCCTAAATGTTTGAAGTAGCTTTGCCGCAAACCTTCTTAAGTTAGATCTAAAGTGACAACCTGTTTGAGAGCTCCCCTTGTTAGCCCAGGAGTCCAAGCATTCAAACGGGTCATGTAAAAACTCAGGGATTGCTTCAAGGCAGCTTCTGCCTTGAGTTTCTGCAACATGAGGGGCACATGCCACTAAGTCTTTGGTGCTGGCAGTTGGGAATGCTGTATCCATCAGGATTCTTTGGTTGTAGGCAACAGAAACCACATCTGGCTGACGTAAGCAGAAAGGAATTTACTGGAGGGATACCTGGTATCAACAGGAAGAATCAATAGGAAGGCTGAAGATCCTGATGTTAAAGAAAGCAGGAACCCTGGTAATTCCAAGAGTGTGGGCGTCAAAGTCTCATCAGATGCCACTGCGGGAATAAGTGGCTCCAATAGCCTTTCACTCTGCTTGAGTTTCAGATACCAGAATGGACAGCCCAGCTGAGTCGCCCAGCTTGGGCCAAGGTCCCACTCCTTGACCTGGGTGATGGCTACATGGGTGTGTTCACTTGGTAAAAATTATTCAAGCAGTGCACTTAGGATCTGTGCAGTTTTCTGAAGGGATCTTATGCTTCAATTGAAAAAAAAAAAAAAGTTACACCTAACCTCTGACCCAGCAATTCCACTCCTAATGGAAGTAAAACACGTAAGAGAAATAATGTATATAACAGAAATGAAAACATACGTCAACACAAAGACTTATGCTCCATTTATAATAGCCAAAAGCTAAAAACAGCCCAGGGCTCTATCAACAGGTGAGTGGATAAGCAAATTGTACATAGTCATACAATGGAATACTACTCAGCAATAAAAAGGAAGCAACTACTGATACACACACAACAGGGATGAATCCGTTATGAATGAAATGAAAACATTAGGTCAAGCGAGAGTAAATGAAGCCTTTAACGAAAGAGTACACACTGTCTGATTCCATTTATATGAAATTCTAGCACAGACAAAACTGATCTACGGCAGAAAAAAATCAGAATAGTGTTGATCCTGGGGAAGTGGGGCAGGGATTGCCTGGAAGGGGCATAGGGAACTTTCTACAGTGACAGTCATGTTCTCTATCTTGATAGGGGTCTGGGTTGCACTGGTATATGCATTTATCTGAACTCACGGGATGGAACACATAAGATTTGTGCATTTCATCATATGCACATTTTACCACAAAAGAAAAGAAACATAAACAAATATTGAACTTTAGTTAATGATAAGCTTGCTGAAGTATTTGACTGTTTTGTTCCTGAAAAGATGCTATTAAGATAGTGAAAAAGCAAGCCACAAACTGAGAGCGGTATTTGCAACATATAATAAGCAAAAGACTGTACCAGAATGTGAATATAGGAAGATCTCTTATGAATTAGTAATAATCCAATAGGAAACAAATGGATAGAGACAAGAACGGGTGTGCAAATGAGGAAACACAAATAGCCCATAAACACCTTCAGCCTTACCAATAATCATGGAAATGTCAATTTAAACCACCATGAGATACCGGTTCACACTCACCAGACTGGCAAAAACTAAAAGCATGGATGATACTGTGTATTGGTGAGGATGGAAAGCACCAAGCACTCTGGCCCAGAGCTGGAGGGAATACGCATTATTTCAGACTTTGGAGAACAATAGGAGGTGAAGATGTACACAGCCTACGACCTTACTATTCTGCTCCCAAGTATATATCCTGGAGAAACCTACACATAGAAAGGATGTTGGGAATAGTAAATAAAAGCAGAAACAATCCAAATGCCCATCAACAAGTGGAAGGGATAAATAAATTGGGTATCTTTACACATAGCAGGAAAAAAGGAATGAATTACAGCTACATGCAACAACAGGATGAATCTCAAAAACACACACACACATAAATGTATCTATTAAAAAACTGGAATACAGTGTGATTCCATTTATAAAAGTTCAAAAGCATACAAAAATTGAACAATGTATCGCATAAGGATATAAATCTATATGGTAAAGCTATAAAGTAGAGCAGGTTAATGATTATAACAAAATTAAGGTTAGTGTATCCCTTGGGGATGGGGAGAGAGGAGAGGTATTTAAGGAGAGGTATAAAAAGCAATTTCTAAAGGTCTCTATTTCTTGCTTTATTTCTTAAGTTAGCTGTGAATATGTCTGCTTTATTATTCGTCTTTAAACTTTACATACATTTTTTATATGCTTTTCTAAACATACATATTTCACAATAAGTTTTTTAAATCAATAAACTTTCTTACATTCCAAAAATATCCAGTTAAAAATAAAATGAAGGAAAAAAAGATCCTATTCCCTAGCAACAAAAAACATAAAACACCTAGGAAAAAACTTAACAAGAAATGTTCACAACCTCCATAAAGAAACCTATGAAACTTTACTGGATGCTATAAAAGAAGAGACGATAGAAAAAAGGCACAAATCACTATGGGGAGGACCATATTTCTGGATAGGAAAACTCAAAATATTTATTATTTTATAAATTTAATGTAATTCCAAATTAGATTCTACTGATATTTGTAGAAAAACAATGAAATGATTATAAATCTCTTATAAAAGAAAGAATAAGTAGGCAAGCATAACCAAGGAAATTTTGAGAAAGAGTTTGCACTGCGAGGTGCAAATATAACAAAGTCATAATAAAAAATGTGATCATGGAGGAAAAAGAGATAGATTAATGAAAAAACAGAAAACCTGGAAACTAATATGTCTGTACACTATAATAAAGCTAACATTTAAAGTCAGTGGAGGGGAGAGGGATGGGTGCCTAGTGTCTAAGACCAAAAGCTATTAACCTAGTAACACCGGTTACTGGACCCGGGAGGCTAACAGATAAGCGAGGAGGGAGATTTCTGCTGCTTGCCTTCTGTACTGTTTGAAATGTGAACAACATGATTATAATGTATAGAGGCATACCTCGTTTCATTGTTTCACTTTACTGTGCCTCGCAGATGAAGCTTTTTTTACAAGACCCTCCACCTGCAAAGAGATTATGACTCGCTGAACGCTCAGATGATGGTTAGCATTTTTTAACAATAAATTATTCTTTAATTAAGGTATGTACATTTTTTTAGACATAATGCTATTATTGCACACCTAGTAGACTACAATATAGTGTAAACGTAACTTTCATATGCACTGGGAAACCAAAAATTCGTGTGACTCACTTTATTGCAATATTCTCTTTATTGCAGTGGTCTGGAACTGAACCTGCAAAATCTCCAAGGTATGCCTATATCAAAAACTAAATTAAACTTAAATTTAAAATATAGTTGGTGGGGCAAGAAATTGAACTGAAAGAACGGGTCGAGGATTTAGAAAGGAATAAAATCAGGGTCTTATCTCACAGGATAAACCAAAATAAATTTCAGTTGGATTAGAAGTGAATGGAAAAGAGAGTGTAGAATAGAAAAGCTGAAACCAAAAAAGAACCAGAAGAAAATACAGGTGGATATTTATCTGACCTTGGGGTGAGGAAGACCTTTCAAATCCAAAGGCAAAGGAAGAAATCATAAAATGAAAGGACTCATGGACTTGAACCACATCTATCAGTCTGCTCAGGCTGCCATAACAACACACCATAGACTGGGGGGCTTCAACAACACACATTTATTTTACACAGTTCTAGAGGCTGAAAGTTCAAGATCAAGGTGCCAACCAAGTTGGTTCTTGGTTAAGGACTCGATTCCTGGCTTGCAGACAGCAGCCTTCTTGCTGTGCGCTCACATGGCCTTTCCTAATGCACGCAGAGGAGACAGAGCTTTCTGGTATCTCTTCTTATAAGGGCACTAATCCCATCATGAAGGCCCCACCCTCATGGCCTCATCTAACCCTAATTCCCTCCCAAAGGCGCCATCTCCAAATACCATCACACTGGGGGTTAGCGCTTCAACATGAATTTTCAGAGAACACAAACAGTCCACAACACCACATATATATTAAAACCTTCTCTATCTTTAAAAATAACAATAAAAGAAAAACAAGCACTGAACTGAGACAAAAAATGTCCTGTACGTATATGTCAGTCAATACTCTTAAGGATAAGTAAACACGTTGAATAAAATGCAGGTCATAAAATACAGAATGATCTCGATTTCTAAGTGGTTATCTCTGGAGATTGGGAATCATAGATTTTTATTTTCTTCTTTCTGCTTTTCTATATTTTCTAAATTTTCAACAGTGAACATCAATTTCTTTTCTAATTCAAAAAAATGACCATTAATTTTAAGAAGTGTATGTCACGGTCAAGCAACATCGGGGATAGAGGGTCCAGTTCTGTACAAGCTTTAGGAGGATGGTTGATGAGCCAGCTGCTCAGCACAGCTGGAGTCTGGAATGCGTGATCCATATCACCCTACAGACTCTACAAGGAAGCCCTGAAAGACGGCAGTATTTCTCCCCAGAGGAGGTGCACATTATGGGGATCTTGTACCAGTGAAAATCCTGTCCCGTGGGAAGAGAGAAGACTTATTTGAGATGGATCCAAAGGGACAGACTCAGAGGCAGAGCAACAAAGAGGCAGATCTCAGCTCAAAAGAGGGAAGAATTTCTACTTACATGAGCTGCCCCTCAATGCAAAACACTCTACTGTGAGCTTCCAGTCACAGTCCACCCACAACTCAGAGATGGATGGAAGAAGGTTTCTTGCATCAAGAAAGGGGTTAGATCAGACATTAATTTTTAATTATATAAGTACTTTTCCTTTTAAGAATTTAAAACAGGGTCGGCCCGGTGGCACAAGTGGTTAAGGGCACACGTTCCGCTGTGGCAGCCCGGGGTTCACCGGTTCGGATCCTGGGCGTGCAATGACCGACGCACTGCTTGGCAAGCCATGTTGTCGCGGCGTCCCATATAAACTGGAGGAAGATGGGCACGGATGTTAGCCCAGGGCCAGTCTTCCTCAGCAAAAAAAAGAGGAGGACTGGCAGATAGCACAGGGCTGATCTTCCTTCCAAAAAAAAAAAAGAATTTAAAACAGACTGTATACTTAAAATGAGTGAATTATTTGTGGTATATAAATTATGCATCAATAAAATTACTTTAAAAATTTTAAATATCACAGAGAAGACTAAATTTCTCTTCGTCATCCTCCCCCCTTCCCACGCACAGTCCTGGTCCCCTTCCCCCTTCCCTAAAGATGATAGCTATCATAAGTTTGGAAGGTATTCTTCTATATGTTTTCATATGCTTTTACATGTAGGTGTTTGTTACGTATATCTGTATTCATATCAAGTATGAAGGACTGTGTATACATTTCTATAAAGGGCATCATAATGTATTTGTCACTTTAAAATGTGCTTTCTTCACCTTACAATCTTAGAGATTCATCATTATTGTTATAGAAAGATCTAATTCTTTTTCAAAGCTGCATAGTATTCCCAGTTATGAAAATTCAAGTTTACATAACTATTCCAGCACTAGTGGACTTTCAAACTGTGCAGTTTTTCACCACTGCAAACCACCGCAAAGAGTGTCCCAGAACTTTCCAGCTGTGCAGACTTGCCAAGGTTTCTTTAGGGCAGATCCTGAGAAGTAGAATTCCTGTCAGAAGGCAGACACATTTTTTATTTTAACGGGTTCTGCCAAACTGATGTCCACTGTGACGTTCCTTTCCAAGCCTCAGATCCCACGGCTTTAGAAATCTGATCCCTGTGAAATTTCTTCCTGTCAGTTACAGCTCAGCTTTTGGGCCTACCTGGCATATTCTCTGTCTCGGTTTTGTTGCATTGCTCTCCTTACTATTCAAATCATCATCCAACCATGAGATGGGCTGCCCTGGTCACTGGCAGCATCCAAGCACAGGCCAAACGGCCACCTCTCCTGGCTACTCATTGAGAGGACTGTTGAATGGGAAGGAGGCCCTTCTAACCCCAAGACGCTGCAGCTCTGAGAATCAGAGGATGCACTATCAGTGAATGAGAGGGGGTGGGGCTGAGCCAGAGGAAACTTGATAAACTCTGGCATCAACTCGATTGCTTGGAACGGCCAGACCCAAAGATGAAAACGCACTAACACGTAAATTAGGCACGAGCGCAGCTGTGAGTCAGGCAGGGCTGGATACTGATGATCGTTCACCCTCCTCACCAGGTAAACCCACCCCAACTTATGATGCCCACAAGTTACTGCAACACCCAACTGATTAATCGTCCACGGTATACTGAGTGCTTTTACATAAGGTGCCAACTGCGTAACCCCGGGCTTACATAAGGTGCTCCGGTATTTTTAGCAGCAGATAACTGCCATGTGAAAGGAGCTGCTCTCCCAATGAATGCCGCTTACTTTACAGGCTGGCGCAGTCCTTGAAAGGCTGATGTTCTGCAGGCAGCTCATGGCTGTCGGAGGGCTGAGGCGGTCTGTGCCGAGGGCTGCAGCACCAGCCGTATTCTGCAGCTTCTCCGGGCCAACCTGACACCCCACAGAGCAGAAGGTGGTACACGTCACCTCGCTTACCCCAGGTTCACGGCAGTGAGAAAAGGGCCACTTCATGGACTCAGCAGAACCCACCCAGCCACCTCCTAGCTTAGCGAGCTCTTCCCAAACCCAACGGAGTGGAGGGGGACAGGAGGAAACCAGGGCTGACCTGGCCCTGCTCCACGCCCCCAGAGCCGATCCCTACCCACCCTCACATGACCTCCCACCTGTCACAAGAAACCCAAGGTTCCAAGTACAGCAAAGTCAAAGGTGTGGGCTCTTATAGGGGCATGGCGTGTCTGTATTCATGTCCTGGGTTTCAGGTCACTGCTGCCTTCTTTCTTGTTTTAGTAAATTTTACTGAAGCATGACACACATATAGAGAAGGACGCATACCAAAACTGATGAATTGGGAGAATGTGAACACACCTACGTGATCGACAACCAGATAAAGAAACCACACTCACCAGCCTCCCAGAAGCCATGCTCCGGGAAGCCACCACCCTGACTTCCAACACCTCACATTCATTTTCGCTTTTTTGCACTTTATATTAATAGAATCATACGGTTCATACTCCTTTTCATCCGGCTCCTTCCCTCAACAGTGTTTCTGTGATTAACCCATGTTGTTCTGTGGAGCTGTAGATTGTTCCTTCTCACCGTGGTCTAGTGTTCTATTGTGCGCATTCACCCCAATTTATTTGTCCGTTGTACTGCCAATGGATGTTGGGTGACTTCCAGTTTTTTGGCCATTACAAGTTGTGTTGCTGTGAACATTCTAGTACACGCTTTTTCACTGCAGCCTTTTGCCCATCATAAGATATAAAAAGTTGAAAACTACTGCTTTAAGTCTCAAATCCTGAGAAAGCCAACCGGCCCCACCTCTCCAATTCACTCTTTCATTCTTCAAACGTAGTCCTGGGGCCAGCCCCCGTGGCATAGCGGTTAAGTGAGCATGCTCCGCTGCTGGCGGCCCAGGTTCGGACCCCGGGCACACACCAAGGCACCGCTTGTCAGGCCATGCTGTGGCAGCATCCCATATAAAGTGGAGGAAGATGGGCACAGATGTTAGCCCGGGGCCAGTCTTCCTCAGCAAAAAGAGGAGGATTAGCGTGGATGTTAGCTCAGGGCTGATCTTCCTCACACACACACACACACAAAAAGTAGTCCTTCCACTGTCTACATGGCACCAAGTAAAGAGCATTGGCCATAGGAGTCAGACTTCCTAGGACTAAGGCCCAGCTCTGCAACCTACTTGCTGTGTGTCCTTGGGCAAGCACTTAACCTCTCTGTGCATCAGTGTCCTTACCTGTAAAATGGGGATGATAATAGTACTTCTAACTTCATTTGGCTGAGGATTAAAGAAGGGAACAGTGCCTGCACTCAGTAAGCACTCATCAAAGTTAGGAGCTATGATTACTGCCAAAGGCACTGTGTCTTTCTCAGCACCCGAGGCACCCTGCTCTGGGCGGCTCCTGCTAGGATAGCTGAGCAAGGCCCTCACACAGGAGGAGACAGCAACTGAGACAATTTCAGCAGCTCCCACGGGAGCAGAGCTGCATCAGCAAGCCCTCCCCACTATGCCAAGCCACCCTCTCTTCCTCTGCCTCTCTAGTCATCAAGGATGCTAGTGGCCACACATACCATCCTTTTACCCACAGGGCACTGAATTTCACTCAAAATGTGACCTAACCCTAGGGCACCCTTCCAGGGTCACTATTAATGGTGTGCCAGCAGCCCGGTGACAAGCTGCTGGGGCACCGGCAGTGCCCAGAAATCGCTGCCTGAAAAAAACAAACATTTTAAATGTCCATGCAAAAGGAGACTGGAGCAGAGTATTTCATGTTTTTAGGCAACAAAGACAGAAAAAGCCCCTCAAAGCGAACAGTGTGGAAACCTAGAAGCCGGAGACCCAGGGCTGCGCACTACTGGTTGCCATGGCAACTGTGTTTCACAGCAGGGACTCATTTTCATATGACAGTGACCTGTGGAGGGAAGGGAAGGACAGCTCCTAAAGAAACTTAGTTGACGGCGGTATTGTTTGGGGGGCCGGGTTTGATTCTCTTCACCAAAAAAAAAGAAAAGCATTTAAAAGTGCCTCAGGGACAGAAACGACCTGAGGGCCCCTCGGGGTTCTCTGTTCCACAACTCTTAACACACACACACACACACACACACACACACACACACAGCCTGTGTCGAAGGCCTCCGGAGCGGATGTCACAGCCTCCCTGAGTCACTGGTCCCACCACTAACCATCTGTTCTGTGACAAAGTCCTTTCCAGAAGTCCAGCGGAGTCCCAAGCAACCAACTGACCCAGCCACCAGGACACCCCGCACACCTGGGCCAGGTGCTGCGAGGACCTGTAACACACTCCCTGGACTGAAAAGCATATGCTTTCCTGCACAAACCCTACTATTCAAAAACAGTCTGGGAGTCAGACAGACTGGAGTTCCAACCTCTGCTCTGCCCACCTACAAGCTGTGTGGTTCAGGCAGGTCCCTGGACCTCTGTGGGTTTGTGTCCTCAGGGGCAGAATGAAGACAATAATCACAGCGCCTACCCCTCTGGTTGCCGTGAGGCTAACACACGTGAGGGAACATCTGGAAAGATCAGCACACACCCGACACGTAACAACCACTCAACAAACAGCTGCTGTGATTAAGAGCCAGAAAAGCATCCCTCACCCATGACACGACTGGAGGCTAATAGAACAAAGGATTAAATTGGGTGGCACAACTGTAACGACTTCAATAAGCCCAGCAGGAGTGCAGACCAGTGGGAATCAGGACGACTGGAACAGTCCAGGAGGAGGTGGAGTCTGAAGCTGACGCTGAAGGATGACAGGAGGTGTTCTTGGAGGTTGAGGGGAGGGAACGCCTTTATTGAGCACCTACTGGGTATCTGGTCCTGGGAATCCAGGAGGAAGGGAAGAGGCTTCAGGGACACGAAGGGCCCTGCGATCAGCAGGCAGCTGTAGACGGTGGCCCCGAGGAACGGGGGGAGTGGGAAGGCCAGGAAAGGGGCCCCAGGGCAGCTGGGAGAGGCCAAGCTTTCCCAGGGAAATGGAGTCTGCGCTGGTCCCAAAGGGTAAGGGCGAGAGTGCCAGGACAGGGAGGGAAGACGCTGTGGGACTGGGAGGTGGTTCCAGAGAGTGAGGGCACAGGAGTGAGGAGCCACGTGAGGTAGAGGAGCTGGGCGTTGTGTGAGAGAAAACCTGGAGCCTCCCAAGATTTCTCAGGGGAGAGGGGTCAGCGACAGGGTAAAAGGGACCATCAGTCTGGAGGTGACATGCCAGATGCAGGGGTTGGAGGGGATTCTGGCATCAGAGAGATCAGGTAAGGGGTCTCGGAACACCGGCCTGAGATGCTGAAGCCTAGTCACAAAGGGGCGGGGAACGGCAGAGACACTTCAGGGAACAGTGAGTGTGACAGAGGAGGAGGAAGCCCACTGCTGAGGAGGCCGCCAGACTGGGCCATGATGGGTCTGGGGGTCACTGGGCATCCAAGGACCCAGGACTGGAGCCAGAACCCAGAGGGGCTTCCTGGGGGCTCCCAAAGCGAGCTCCCCGAGAAGCAAAACACGGGGCCTCACAAGACACCCCAAAAAACAGCGAAGAGGGGTCCAAAGAGGAGAAGGAACAATGGAGAAATATGGACAAAGCCAGGAGAGAGGGGTGCCCAGAAATCACAGCAGAGAAGACTGCAAGGAAGACACAGGCACACAGGGGCCGGTTTCCCAGCAGAAGGACGAGGCCGACAAAAGAGCAGTGTTTGGAAACAAGCTGACTTTCTGGGAAGCAGTTTCAGGAAAGCGGTGGGGCCAGCAGCCAGGCTGCAGAGGATTAAGAGTGGAGCCGAGAAGCAGGCAGCAGGTGCAGAGCACTTGTGGGGTAAATGTGACAGTGAGAGAAAAGAGGAAAGGAAGCCGATGGCTCCCATGCATAGTTTTTTTCCCCAAGAGATGGGAGGCCAAGTGGATGTGAGAGGCAGGAGGATGGAGGGGCATGGAGACTCCCGTAAGGGCACAATCTTTCAAGGTGTGGGGGAGGGAGGGGCACTGGATTGCAGGTCTGGCTCTACCAATGCTCTTACCAGGGTGTCTGGGGACACCCCCTGAGTTCCTCAGCCGTCAGACTGCTGGAGGATCAAAGGTTCCCATGCGCTGCACAGATGGAGCCTGATCACTCACCCGAATCCCCCTCGCCCTGGTCTCACCGAGGATGGGTTCCCGTCTTCCCCATCACACCTCTCCCCAGGGCAACCTCTGGGGTGGGGGTAGGCGGTATTACAGACCACCTAGGTGAGAAAATCCGGTCCTCAGCCTTCTGAGCGGCCCGGCAGGAGACAAAATTCCCAGACCTCCCAGCAGGGCCCTCACTGCAGCCCAAAAAAGGAGGCTTCTGCCCCCCAAGCACAGGTGTCATGGGCACCGCTGTGAGCCCAGAGCCTTCATCCTGAAGGCAGTGAGGCGCCCTGGATGGATTTCAGCACTCCCTCCAAACCTCCCGCCTGGGAAAAACAGCGGTGGTCCTGACTGCAGGAAGAGGGTTGGGGGGGGGGGTCGGGGGCTGAAAAACAAACCCGGGGCAGGATTCTCAGGCTGAAAGAGGCGGGCAGGGTGAACCGGGGGAATCCTGTCTGGCCAGTGAGAAGTACCTCCATCCCACATTCACACACTCCCGGGCACCAACGTGCCATCGGAATCCCACTCCTGACCACCTAACCACCGGCAAAAGTCCAAATGTCCAGGGCCAAGGCCCACCACCGAGCCCCACGCCAATCATCTGAACTGTGGGATCCTCACCCAAGGCAAGGCCGAGCGGCAGAGGGGCAGGGGCGCGCCGCCCCCCGCGCGGGCACGGACTGCCGCGGCCACGCCGAGGCCCCTCCCGGCGCACGTGCGCGCCCAGGCGGGCGCTCGGCAAACACGGCACTCGTTGACTCGCTCGTCGGGAACGCTCGCCCCAGCGCCGCCTGGTGTCTGCCGCCGCCCTCGCTACCCACTCCCCTCCCCCACTCGCGCCCCCGCCTCGCCCCCGCGGCCCCCAGCTCGGGGCGCACGACGGGCTCCCCTGGGGGCCCCTGGCAGGCTGCAGTCCAGACCCAGAGCGCGAACCGTTCCGGGGGCCGGGCCCAGGCGCTGCCTCGGGCCGCTCGGGTCCAGCCCC